CACTTAATTGATGATAAGGGATTACTTACAAAGAATTATTATCGACCTAGTGTCATAATTATTATAGTGTTTATTACTGTAATTATGTATATTAAGGGTCATCTGACTTCGTTATGTGGCTATTTTCAAATACAATATAAATGCTTTTCACTGAGAAACGTTCTGAAAATTTATAAATTTATTTTTTATTATTATTATTAAAATTTATTTTATTTATTATTTTATTATTAGGATTATTTTTTAAAAATTTTAATGCGTTTTACACCACTTTACTTTTTAATAACAAGTTTTTTAAAACTATTCTATGGTGTACAGCGAACAACTGAGAATGTCCTATAATTTATTTTAATATTAATTTTTGTGTTATTGTGTTACAAACAGGTCTAAAAGTGGATATTACTGAGTTCTCGAGAAGAACGTAGTTAGGATTTTATTACTCGATGTTTTGACACCCATTTTGGAGCCATTTTTAAGAGAGAGAAACGGTTCCGTTCGTTCGAGTTCGGAGTCTCAATCTGCCTACTCCTCTCACTCGTAACGTACCAGTATCGTGTTCAGTAAAAATACAAGAATCGTCAAATGTCTCTAAGGTCTCAATCTGCCTACTCCTCAGTGTCGAGTGACGACCGATCTTGCCCTGTGTGTCTGCTTTTATACTATCAGTATGTGCGAACGTCTGAGCTGAAGTGCCCAGTCACATCATTACCCCGCTCAACTCAATTCAGTCATCAACACCCTTATTTCCTATTCCATAAGACTAAGCGCCAACAATCACAGGTCATCCGAAAGAAATTCAATTCAAGTCAAACACTTTTACAAAACGGTTACCATAAAACCCAAATCAATAAGAGCATTCAAAAACATCTAAACCCCATTTCAAAAGAAATCTTGCGCCAAATCAACCCAAAATCTTTCTCAATTTTATTAAAGGTGTCACTGACAAGATAAGTAGAACTTTTATCCCTCTAAACATTAAAACCATCTTCACTACTTACTCCAAGTTGTCCAATCTCGTCAAATCGGTAAAACACCAAGTCCACAATGAAGATCATACGAGATACCTTGTTCCAATTGCCCAAGTACATACATAGGACAGACAAATCAACGAATTCATAACCGTAATTACGAACATTCTCTATCAGTCAAATATTTCAATACTACTTCAGCCCTAGCTCAACATCATATTTGGACAGACCACAAAATAGATTTCGAAAAAGTAACAACCATCGCTCCCATCTGCTGCCAACTGCCGGTAATATGGCGACCGCTACTTCAGCGACCCCCACCCCAAACCACACCTCTAAGGCCAGTGGTACGTCAGTTCTTTTTAGATTGTATGTATGTGAGTGGTCCTAAGTGTGACAAGGACTATGTCTCTAGTTGCTATTGTTCCTGCAAGCCGTTTGTACGTCGTCGGTCTATTACTGAACTAGTGTATTGCATTTAAAAAATATTTAAATTGCATTTGTTGACTGATTGTCTTGAGGTCAAGGCCTAGTCAGCTTTCCACTAGTATTACCCTGTGTAGCTGCTTTTATATCCTTAATATGCGCAAAAACTATCTGAGCAGGATCTGTTGGCACGGGGATCACTGAAGCAGCGGTCGCCATTTTGTTGGTAGTCTTTTTGTTGGTAGTGTTTAAGTTTATCCTCGATATTACATTCCGATTTAAGATCCCGCAACTTCTGTATTTCTTTTGGTGTTCTTAATTTAACAACTTTCTAAAGTTCTCATACCATATTTGCTTTTAGTCCAAGATCATTGATAATAATCATTTATAATAAGATGCCAGTCAAAAAGTGGCCCCAAATATTTTTAATTCAAATAATAATAATTAATTATTTAACAAAACTTTTATTTCGTTCATTTATTTTTTTTAATAAAATACGCTGCTCATAACGAAGGTATACGGATGTCTTTATATCAAAATAAACCTATTTTTTTATTACGATGATTTAAAGTTACCTGAAAAAAAAATGGGTTGCCAGCATTTAAAAACGCGAGATATCAAAGTTAAGTAAATAGCGCGTAACGTCACTGGTTTAAAGTATCATTTGTATAAGTTTTTTGAAGCATACGTCAATAATAATGAATATTATACATATTATCACTTGTCATTATGCGATACCTAGCGTTTTTAACAGCACGCCACCCTAACTTGCGACCATTTTTTTAAAGTAATCTTACAGCAATAGATTAAGAAGACACTGGCTTTAATTTAATATAGAACATGCATATGCATCATGAGCAGTATATTTTATTTAAAAAATAAATTAACGAAATAAAAATTTTATTTGAAACTTTATTAATTGAATTAAAAATATCTACAGCTACTTTTTGATTGGCAACATAGGTATCAATGTATTCTCGTAAATTTAAATGTATGAAAAATTTATGAACGTAGTGATCTTGCAGTGAGATCTTGTAATATTTATTTTAACATCGATTATTAATATTCATCCATCTGTATTCTTAATCTTCCCTATGCGGGTGAAGTCATTTGTTGACTTGTCCCTTACTTTAGCCATGCTGTATAACCCTCTCATCCACTCGGCTGTTTCCAACTCTTGATACAATGGACCACAGGAGTGATGACGTAGATTTTTTTGACATCTGTCAGTTTTACTTTCCAAACAAACCTTGTTTTGAGTGGATAATTTGTATTTTTCGTTATGTTTTCATTTTTTTTATAGAATCTTTTTGTTAATATCTAATTATTCTAATAGTTACTACAACAATTTTACAAGGTTGTGTAAATAATAAAGCACATTGTTTTATGCTAATAGCAATAAAATGCATGTATCAATAAAGTAAGGTTAGAATTTCTTTAATTTAAACTGTTAAACTATATTTCATAGAAATAGAACTCTGAATTATGATGGTATTATCGTAAAAAACACTATACTTACAAGAAAAAGCAGCAGAGGAAGCAAAATGTTAAATTAAAAAGTCTTGAGATTGGACATTTCAACTTTTGTTTGGAAAGTAATAATGACAATGTGACAGTCGTGACGTCATACTCCTGCTATCCATTGTGCAGTCGATCTTTTCTTGCGCAGTAGCTACAGCGCGTATTGCTTCATCTTTGCTACCTTGTATATATTTTTATCTTTCTTTCTTCTAGACTTGTCATATCTCTTTCTAGCATTTTTCTTTTATTTAATCTTCTGTTACACTTCATCGTTTCATTACCAACTTTGCCCTTTCTGACGTCAACCCTCCTCCTTTGTCCGGGCTTGGGACCGGCACTGATAGCTACCGAGCTTCTCAATTCACCTAGCAACTTCCAGAGGCGGAGTTTTTATTATAATACATGTATATTATATTTATATAGTGTTCTAATTGGAATAGAAGTAACACGTATTCAATTTGTTTAAAACAGTTTGTCCAACGAGCTAATATGAAAAAACATTTTAAAATAAATGCTGAAATACCTTATAAATGTGAAATTTGTTCGAAATAGTTTACCTCAGCATGTGACTTAAAAAGACATTGATGACTCACAATGGCCAAAGCCTTACTGGTGTGATATTTGTTTCAAGCGATTTACTCAGCATGCTCATTTAAAATCCCTTTTGAAATTGCACATTAGAAAAACCTTACAAATGTGATATAAGATCTTAAGTTTACTCAATCATCGGCATTGAAATAACATTTGATGACTCACAATGAACAAAAACCTTACAAGTGTGACACTTGTTTCAAAGAGTTTACACACCTTACTTAACCCGTTTTGAAATATCATTTGAGAAGAAACACTTAAGAAAAATCTTGTAATTGTGTTTGTTTTAAACAGGTATATACTTTGAAGTCACACAATTTTTATTGTTAACTAATTTGATGGATGTTTGGATCCTGGTCAACTCTGCCCTGTGGATCGCCGTGATAATAAATGCATGTCTTTTAAAATCAACAAAATAATAAACACATGGCAAGGGTTTATAAATCTAAAATTATATGCACTAAAATCTAGGTACAATAAAAATTACCTAAATGAATTATCATAAGAGGTAGAATTTGTATAGTTAAGCATAATATATACACCTATGTTTAAGATTAAGCTAAATAAAACTATTTGTAATATTAAATTAAGATAAAACGCCATTTCGACGTCTCTTCAGTGAATATGTGTTTGTTTTTCTTTGTGATGCTGGTGATTTTAAACGACTTTGTCTGTCTAAAAGTTAATCTGTTTCAAAAGTATTATTTTATCCACTTTTTGTTCGAATTTTTGTTGGAACCATGACACTGTGGGATACGATCAAAAAAAATAAAATAATATTAAAGGTATTGAAGAAAACATTGTTTTCTTCAATACCTTTTGTTTTCGAAAACACGAAATTGTTGCTAATTCCGAACCGTAACCACAAGGTGATGACAAAAGTCTGCAAGATGATTGTTCAGAAGTTCTAGAATATGGTACCAATTCAGGGAAGGATTTCTGTGATGAAGAATATGTTGAAAATTTTGTACCCGTAGAAGTTATACCTTGCATACCACGTTTGTTTGGGAAAGATGCAACAAGGTGGAGGAAACATAATGTAACAACAATCTGGCAGGATCAAAAGGTGAATTTGAAAATCTAATCTATGAAAAAACTGCGAAACATAAAAAATAGATATCTTCTAGTCATATAGTAGAGACATAAATAAATAAGACGACATCTTACAAGGTCAGATGACATAAGACAAATTTATTGACTATGATGAAGAAAAGGTGAGGAGGTTTTTGTCCAACATAGGATATTCTTCACTGCTTACTTACATAAACAGTATAAACAAAGTCTTAAATGTATTATTAAATAAACACTGTTGCATATTGAATAAAAAAGACAGACCAATCATAAAAATATTCACTAAAGAAACAAAAGAAAATTATAAAAACGCCTTAATAGGTCTTAAATTTTGTAAAAGCTTACTTAAAATAACTAATATTATTAACTAATTCATAAAAACTAAGTGTCTGAAAGTTAAAATGTCTAACACAAAATGACTGGAAACTATGGACTTTCAATTTCAATAATTTGTGGTAGAACAAGATTTCGATCGATAATTCCTATCGAATAGTTAAAATCACCGTTAGTGTCACAAAGGTCTTTAATCATATCAAAATTTGTCGACAAATACTTTTTCCCGATGAATCTACTGTTATCATTCTTGAGTAGGTAACAGGGTCCAATCATAGAAACGGCTTCTTTGTTTGTATTTTTTAAAAACATTCCAATTTTAAAACAAAAGGACTTGTCGAAAGATGGTTTTCCTAAAGAGTACACTGCAAACCTCATTAAGCCGCTTTCTTCATTCAAGTCCCAAGAGCAACGGAAAAGAGTGTCGTGTATGTATACTAGAATGTAGTAGTGTCTGCCTACAGGTCGGTTGAAATTAGCGACTTTTAGTTTTTGTTCGTTTTGGAAAAATATGTTTTCCGGATGATGAGTTGTGCAGTGGTCTATCATCTCAGATCGCAGTCCTGTCCATTCGCAGCTGTTAAATCTAGAGAATAAAATAAAAATTAATTTATTGTAATTATATAGAGCAAGGTTGTCAAACTCACGGATTGAGATGAACGTTTTAGCTGTCCAGTCAATATATCCAACGCAAAGTAAAAATAAAATTAAAATGTGATAATATACTTTTCCGTCGACCGTCCATTTGTGACCAATTTTAACACCCTCAAAATCATTAATTAATGACCGCTATTAATAAATGATTTTCTATTAAAGAACGATTTCATTATAGGCAACACAACATACACTACTTGCATAAATTAAATACTCTGTGATTGGCAGTGACCTGTGGTGTAGGCAACCAAACATATACCTATTAATATTCCCACTAAAAAATTTAAAATGAAGTAGCCGCTGTTAGTCCTATCTGTCATTGTATGTCATTATTTACTTTATTGTTTAAAATTCTGTGTATTTAAAAAATCAAAAGATGGATATAGATGAATGAAGAGTTTAATTTAACTCCACCAAAAGTGGCAGAAACTGCAAAATGAAATATCGTTAAGTTAACTGCCTGAAAAGAGCAGAGTGTTGTACGAAAAAACATACGCTGAATTTATTGCATGGTGTGACGAAAGAAAAATAATACGATATTTAGAATCTGCATTGTTGACATATTTTTCAAACATTGCCGAAAAAGGACTAATAGCAAGTTTGTGGCTGAAATATTCGATGCTAAAGTCAACCTTAAATTTAAAATCAAACATTGATATATTTATTATAAGTATTATAGTATTATAACACACGCATATAGAATATGTACCATAGTAGATAACGAAGCAAATACCATTATCAATGCGATCAAAAACTATATTTATTTAAGACCGGCACACACACCGCATAAACGATTTTTCATTTTTTATAAAAATAACAAATGTTTCAGTTTACATAAATGCGTTTTCCAAAATTCCTTTCGTTATTGCTTAATTTTTAAAATTAGAGCACCCGCATCTCTCCACTGGGCATTGTTTTAAACGTTCTTTTGCCTCAATTCTGTGTGATAGTGGTGCAGACTTTTCAGCTATTAAAAACTAGGTGGCTGGAAATCGACCTCTGTAGCAGAAGGTTATATAGATAAACTATATAGCAATATAGCATATATATGCAGGATAAACTTGACACGGCTGAAAAACTCTACAAAAATACCACTAAACCTTGTCAAAATACTTACAGAGAATTTACAGAGGTCCAAGAAGACTTGAATATAAATTTGTCAAAATGCTATACAGCAGATAACCATTTATCAATAGCTTCGATAGCTTCCTTTAATTTCAGTAATTGTACTATTTCGAATATTAATGTTTACAATAATAAAACTACCACTAAAGAAAATTAAACTTTAAATAAAGTTAATGAAAGTTGAAAAAATTGTTGTTTGTCGTTAAGTAAATAAAAATTTAAACTAAGATATCTTTATTTCTGAAAAGTACGGTCGACGGAAAAGTTTTGTAATGAACTCATGAATTAAAATGGCGATTAACAATCTCAAACATTCTATATCTCAAACTATCTATTCTCAAACATAATATTTCAATTGTTAATCGCCCCTATTAATACACTTGTTGAGTAAATAACTATTATTAATAGAATATACTGATCATTTTAAATTGTATGTGCGAAAATGTAAAATTCTATGGCTGAAATGGAGTTACGCTGCCTTCCATAAGCTGATACACCCAACCTGATAATAGGTAGTTGCACATAGATTATCTTTTTTATATCCATTATGCCGATGGACCCTAGCAATGAACAGGAAAATGAGTTTAAACATAAATACCAAAACACAAAATAAGAATACGAGAGAGCATTTATTAACCTAATAGAAGAACTTAAAAAAAATAAAATACATATCATAGCAAGACAAGAAACACATTTGACTAAAAACAACATTGAAAAGATTAGCCCATATACGTTTTATACAAGTGGAAACCATCATAGGAATTTTGGAGTGGGTTTTTTGGTACATGAAGACGTGGAGCAGGTAAAATGATTCGTTGCAAAATCTAACAGAGTGTGTGCAATTAGAATTAAAGAAAAAGAGAACATAATATCGCTGATAAATATAGATGCTCAAACAGAAGAAAAAGAAGAAGAAGTGCAAGATGAATTTTGTAAATAATTTGAAAGAGTCATTGTCTGAAGAAATGCCCAGACAGGATATTAAAATTGTTATAGGCGACGTAAATTTAATTTTGAAAAACTGCAAAATTTGAGGTAGTGCAGAATTATCAAAAGGATGTACAAAAAACCTACTAAAAACAAGATAGTACTACTGTAAGTAACATACGACAAAAATTCTTGAAAATGACAAACACTATAAAGGAAGCAACGTCGAAGAACACACCAAAAACAAAAAGATGAACAAAATTAAAAAAAAATAGATCAGATTTATCATTAAAAAGTTTGCGATCGCAAAAATAAGACGACCTAGTAAGGTATGCCGAACAACGAAAAAAAGTAAAGAAAATACTAAGGGCGCGGAAACAAAAGTATAGGGATGGTAAAGTAAAGCGTATTGAAGAAAATTACAAGAAAAATAAAATAAAAAAATTTTACAAAGAGGTAAAATACATTAAAACTGGGTATTAGGGAAAAAACGATGAATGTAAAAGATAAGCAAGTAAACCTGATAGTGGACGAAGACCAAATATGTGAAAGGTAAAAAGAATATTTCGAAAAGATGATAAATGTCGGAGCGATAACTGAAGGAAATGATACTGTTTCTAAAGCTCAAATAGTAATAGAAGAAATACCAAAGCACACAAGAGAAGAAATTAAAAAAATAATAAAAGATATGAAAAATCAAAAAAGCTCCGGGGAGAGAGGCATTGTGGCAGAGAACTTAAAATATGAAGAAGAGGCTTTAAATAGAAACGCTAAACGCTAAGATTGGTAAAAATGACAATTTAGATAAACCATTTCTGCTGTGAACAGTATAGTCTCAGAAGAATTCGAAGTGAAAAAAGTTGTTCGCCAATAAGACCCGTTGTCTACATTGCTATTCAATATAGTTTTAGAAAAAATTCCAAATGTTATTGGGGTAAATAGGTCCAGCACTATTTTATACTAAAAGCATCAATGCTTAGCATATGCTGATAATGTGGTTCTCATTGCAAGAAATGGAAAAGAACTGGCAAAAATAGCAAAAATAATAATTCGGAAAAGCTCGTTAATAAATATATGTACTTAAGTACTCTTATTGATCAGACATGTAAGGACTACACTGAAATTAACCTGAGATTGACCAAGACCAATAGGTATGCTGAAGCTATAAGCAAAAAAAAAATAAAACTGAGACTCAAAATGCTATACGCTGCCGAGACATGGACTATGAACAAACCATAGAATAGATTGGAAGCATGGAAAAGAAAGCATGGAAAGAAAGCAGAATTTTTGGTGAAAAAGTAATAGAGGAAGAATGGAGAAGACGAACTAATGCAGAAGTATACTATTTGTATGTTTACTCTACAATAACAAAAGTGGTGAAAAAACGCAGACTAGAATGGCTCGGACATCTAGAAAGAATGCAAGGTAATAGACTAGTCAAGAATATTGCTTGGAGAGTACCTGAAGGCAGAAAAAGAGAAGAATACCAAAAAAGAAATAAAGAGATGTAGTGATGCCAGAGAGATGGAAATCAGAAATTGGAAGCTGCATATATAGGTTATCATACAAGTAATTATGATTACTTTAAATTTATATTACGCCTATTAATTTGTGGAGTTATTATCTACTTTATAAGATAATATTCAATACAAAACATTAAAATTATATTTAAAATGTTTTATAATCGGCAATCCGAAAAGAGAAATGGGCTTAAACAATTATTTTCTATTAAAAATTGATTACTCATTTCAGCTATTTGTATTTAATGTCTGTATGTAAACCTAGTGATAATAAACCTAAACGACAATTCGCCGAAAAACATCGAATATTCTAAGTAAAATGGGAATTAGAGTAGGTTTGCTGTAAAGAAAATGTTAAAATAATATGATTAATTTGCAATAGTACCATTCATGTACTGAACTCGTCATTACGAAAAACATCAATCACAATACGAAATATGTTAATTACGAAGTGTTAATGAGACAAGAGAACTTAAGTTGACTGAAACACAGAAGTCTTTTACAAAATCTGATTCCATCAAGAATAATTATTAACAGGTAAAGTGTCTGTTGGTGCCTAAATGGATCGACAACATAACTCAAATGTGTGGTTGTCCAAATTTAGAAGTAAGCATTTTCTGTCCATTTTTCCTTCATTGCCTAAGTAATTGCGTTAAATCAGAATTATGCAGCTTATTTGTAAAATGCGATTATCTCGAAAACTGTTTAGTTTTGGAAGTTATTAACAAATATACCTTTTTTTTTGTTAAAATAATATACCTTTAATATTTTTCAACACAAATAGCGCTAACTCAGGGAACAAATAGTAAAGCGCAAATTTATGCCACATATATGGCATATGTGGAGCCCTCTATAAACTACATACATCAAAGTATGCATCAAATTATAATTCCTCCTATTCAAAAGTATCCAACCATAAACATGAACAAACGTGAAAGTTATAGCGAAAATAAAATTTTAAATTTTTAATTTAACACCCTGTATCTTTCTTAATATCAACATTTTGTTAAAACAAATTGACTTAAATCGTAATACTTTAAAGTGTTAAATCTACTGTTTCTTTTGTACAATTTCTTAAGGTCCACCCTGTATATATAAATTAATTCTCTAAATGAAATCTATCATCCTGGAGAAGCAAGCGTAATTGACAAATACACCAATATATTTACCTCCTTTTATACCTGGTATGTAAATCGGCTTGCTGGCCCTTGATAAGCGGAAGCTCATGGTGTTTACAATTTACCATTGCGTTTGCCACAAGTATGCCGACGCATTGATGCAAAGATAGCTGAAATGAATTGGAGGTTGTAGGCCAGTATGGAAAGTCACCGTCCTAAGAATATTGCCCCGGAAGAATAAAATTTGAACAAATTAATTTCTAGATTTTTCTTTATAGTTTAGGAATATATTTAAAGAACGATTATAGTCAAAATTTTATTTTTTGGAATAAAAAATAATAAGCCGGTGGGAATAAGAAGACAAAGCAAACCAAAGCTAAGGTGAATAGGCGGTGTAACACAGGATGCTGAGATAATTGATGTTTCTAACTAGAAAATCACAGTAAGGGAAAGTGTAAAATGTCACACAAAGCTTGAAAAGGTCAAGATTCTAAGGGCTGTAGCACCGTGATGGTGATGATATTATTTTATAGTTTTATTAATATTTTATACATTTTTGTTCTAGTCAAGGTCCTTGCAAAGACCTTTACATCTAGACTGTAAGTGCTTATGGAAATGTATCAACCAAACAGTGTATTTTTTATTACTGTTGATTACTTTTACTTCATAAGTATATTTAGCGGTATCTACAAAGATTGTTTTAAATGTATTTTTATAGTATTATTTAAACATAAATAGGTATAAATAAATATTTTACTGAATAATAAATTCTTTAAATTAATAGTTTTCTGAAAACGTTTACCTACCTCAATGGGCATAAAACTGAAGAAAATTCACAATATTCTTGATGAATTGTCATTGAATCACCTTTTCCACTAAAACCGCATCCTAGAAATAAATATAGGTATTCATTATATTTAATATACGAGCTATTTACAAAAAACAGTTTTTTTAATTTTCCTGGTTTTTAAGACGCAATGACTCACAGTGAACTGTAAGTCAATAATATCTTGTAGCAGGTTTTTTTTAACTATGTCTTGTAATTATTAATTTTTGTCGTTTTAAGTACGTACAACTGTTTAAAAGGCCCTTAAACTAAGACTCCTTTAGTAATATTAAACCACTTCATTCAAGTAATAATCTCACATAATACCTTTCAAAATTTTATTGGTTTTAATTAGAAAAACTATACCTTCGATCAAGGTAAAGAATTTACATATCTTGGACAGCTAATAAATACTAAAAATGCAACAATAAGCGATGAAGTAAAAAACACGTGTAGAAAAAGCAAACAAAACTTTCCATGGTCTTTAAAATCATATAAAAAACAAAAATCTAAAACGTGCCGTAAAGCTGAACATCTACAAGACCTCAATATGACCAGTTTTATATTATGGTGCTAAAACATGGACTTTATTTCTAAAGGATGAGACAACTTAGTATCGTTAATTCAAATTTTTCCCAAAGATAATTATTGGCACTGGTGTCAATAACTGAAACTTAGGACTTAGGATGTACTGGTAAGATGTAGATCTGACTTTTACATTATTTTTTATTAAACTGTTGAAAAGAGTTTTAAGAAATTAGCTGCAAGGAAATGGAGAACTGACAAATTCAAAAAATATTACCCTGGCCTGCAACAAACTCCTAATAAAACATGAGGAAGTTGTGTTAAAGGAGCGGATTATTTATAGCGACAGAAAGGGTTTCCTCAAAAGGAGGAACAATATTTATTTTTCAGTAAAAACCTTCTTTAACGCTAATCTACTTTGCCCTTAAATGAATCTACCTGAGAGACACTGGTATGAAGCCTTATTTTTGCGTCATCCAGACTTGACCCTGAGCACTCCAAATGCGGTAACTATAACAAGCAGTTGCGTTTCTATGAAACACATAATTAACTGGTTTACCAACATCGAAAATTATTTAAAAAAAAAAATATTTTAATATATTGCAAGATCCAAAAAGAGTGTTCAACGGGGATGAAACTGGTTTCCTTTTTTGCCATTAAAAAGATAAATTTGTTGCTCCTTGTGGTGCTAAAAATGTTACCAGGTAGATCAAGAAACAACAAAGGCCGATATTGCTCTAACGTTTACCTTCTCAGCTGCCGGCTTAGTAATTCCTCGTTGATAATTTACCTCTATAAGAGACTTTCTGCTGCTGTTGGTAAAAGTGTTCCTGATGCATGGGGAATAGGAACCAGCGACAATGCCTAGATGAAATATGACTTATTTGTGGACTATATTTTAAATATATTTTATCCTCATCTTCTCAAACAAAATACAGTTTCATTTACTTTTAAAAATACACTGGAAAAAAGACAACAGAACCAGATATAGCTAAAGGAAATTGAAATGGAAAAGTAAGTTGCGAACTGTCATATAATAATGACTTAGTTTTTATTGTTTGCAAGAAAAATTAAACCAACTTATGACAGTACAAAAACAAGATTTTCAGTTGCTTGTAAAAATATGTTAAAAATTTACAAAAGTTATTGAGCCATACAGTTCTGGTTCAGATTATTTTTTACTACAGTTCAGTTTGATGGTGAAGAATGTGAGTCACATTAATATAAAGGAAGGTTTTTCGTAAGGTGTAAGCTGCCTGTACCGCATTTAACCGAAGAAAGTATTAAAAGTGTGCAGATAATTGTCGGGGTAGTCTATTTAGAGGGAGCAGCCGTCCCAAAAGTCCAAATATTTATGATAATTTCCGACTTCCGCCACGCAGATGGTACTTGAAGAAGACCTAACGTTAGTATACCTAACGAGGGAGTGGCCATTAGGTATACAAAATATTAAAATTGACTATAATTTGTTATTATGATTTTAAAATATTTCATAGTTTTTTCTATATTTAAAAATACAGAAACATAGCATGAAGTTTTTTTAAATCGATATTTTTTGTTTTTTTCTTGCATATTTTTTGAAGTTCCAAAACTGACATTATTAGCAAAATTAAGCTTCTTTGTCTTGTTTTTAGAGATTATATTGTTGACAACTGTACTAATATAAAAGCCAAAAACCAAAATAATTTGATAATTTTTTTTTATTTCTTTAAAAAATATAATATACTAGTTTCAAATTTAATTATCTTGTTTTCTTCTGTATAAAACTGTAAAATATTTAAGTCATATACTTACCCTGATCAAGATATTTGCAGGGAAATGTAAGAGAGGCATGTATTTGCTCCAATACGATGCATCGGTAAGGGCTCTTGTTGGCTCTACATAAAGCACAGTTCTTAAGCTTTTCAAAACAGTGAGTGCAGTAGCTATGTCCAGAGAGACATAGTCTTATCGGAGGATTCATGTATTTGAAGCAAACGGGGCACTCGAATTTGCTAATGAGGTTTTTTTCAAAGGTCACCAAAGTTTCATTAGTTACCATGCTAAAATCGTATAAAGATTGTTAAAAGTATTTTTATTGTCGTTCATTATTATTATATTATTTGATTAGGATGCGAAACCAAAAAACTGGCATTTTCCTTTATTTGCTTATACCTCCTGCTACCTTCGTGGTAACACATTATAAATAACAAAAAAAGCAATAGTTATTTTTGAAACAAATTAACTACTGCCGATTTAGTTAAAATTGGTAGCCTCATTTCAAAAACAAATCTTCAAAAAGGAGGTGAACGTGATAAATTATACATGTATTATTATTTTTTTAAAGTTACTTCATCTACTCTGTAACTAAATATGGCATTCTAAACAATGGCCTGAATACTGGACAAAATTTACAATACCGACCATACATAAAAAAGGCAGCTTCCATAAATGCGACAATTATAGAACTATCTCTCTTATATCCCATGCCAGCAAGATAATGCTACATATAATCAATAAGAGACTGAAAACATTCCTTTAAAGAGAAATTCCACAAAAGCAAACTGGATTTACCAAAGGTAGAGGCAGTCGAGAACACCTGCTGAATATACGACAGATAATCGAGAAATCTAGGGAATTCCACATCCCACTATACATCTGTTTTATAGATTACCGTAAAGCGTTCGACAGGGTCAAGTGAAGACACTTATGGCGAATACTAAAAGAAGTAGGCGTACCACAACATCTAATTACGCTTATAACTGAACTATATGAACACACTACTGGATCAGTTAAAGTACTGTTAAGCAGAGCTGATGAAACTTATACGACTGATCGAAAACGAAAGTCAAATATTTGGTCTGCAATTAAACATATCAAAGACAAAGATCATGATAGTGGATAGACTAAACAACAATCATACACACATAACCACAATTGACCGGTTCGAGGTTGTGAGCTCATACTTATATCTGGGATCATTAATCACAAACACAGGGTCACTACAAAAAGAGATTAGACGTAGATGTGATCTAGCAAAAGTAGCCACAGCAAAAATGACCAAAATATGGAAGCACTGTCAAATTTCAAGAGCGATAAAGATGAGGCTTATCAACTGCTTAATATTCCCAATACTGACCTACGGATGTGAATCTTGGACTCTGAGACAATCGGAGATAAGAAAGATAGACGCCACTGAAATGTTCTGTTGGAGACGAATGTTACGAATTCCTTGGACCGACCGTAGAACAAATAATTCAATTTTAAGAGAGCTAAAAGTTAGTCCATCTCCAACAATTAAAATATTTTGGGCATGTTATGAGAGCAAACACAAAAAACATGGAAAGACTCATAATACAAGGAAAGGTAGAAGGCCGAAGATCACAAGGAAGATCCCCAACAAGATGGATAGATCAAATTACAGCAATATGCCAAAGACCTATGCATCAATTAAAAGAAATGACCAGAGACAGAGATCTCTGGAGACGGACAATACACGACATTACGTCGACCACTACACTCCCCCTAGGGGGTCAGGATTGAAGAGAGAGATTATTTTTTAAACAGTCCACACTGTTAACATAGAAATTACAATACAAACCCACCATTATATACCTAATACAGGTAAAAAATAAAGGATCAGGTCGGAATATCAAAAAAGAAAAAATTTTAGTCAAGAAAGATTATGTTAAATAAAATTAATATTAAAGCGGACAAATTGTATTGATACTTATTTAGGGACATAACATTTTTAGCGTCGTAGATAAATTAAAAACTTATTAATTAACTTTATTAATTAATTAAAACCGTTTAAAAACATTTGTTAGTGAGTGAACTTTGCCCCTTTATCCCGCTGGACGCGGCGCCAGTGTTTAGTTGCCAAGGACTTGCTGTTTGAATGGTGGCGCTACGAGTGGCGTGCGCTGACAGAGACGGTTGAGTGGTCGCCAACAAAAACAATAGACAAAATGGACGCATGTTCGTTATATAGTTTGTAAATCATTTTAATAAAGTTGTAATGAATAGTAAATCATTAATAAATAGTTCTTAAGTGAAATTAAACCATGGTCCTTCATTTTTCGAGCCGAATCGTCGATCTGTGGAGAAATAACGAAAGATAAGTGTGCATCCTATTTTATTATGTTCCTTTCCATAGCATGATATCTATTTGAGAAAACACAATTATTTCTTGTCGTTACCTTCTAGGTATATTATCATAACATTGTTACAATTATTTCTTGTCGTTACCTTCTAGGTATATTATCATAACATTGTTACATTTATTGCTTGTCGATTTATCTTCTAGGTATATATAACATATTGATGCATTTGTTGCTTGTCGATTTACCTTCTAGGTATATATAACATATTGTTGCATTTATTACTTGTCGATTGTCGTTACCTTCATGGTATAATTTTATTGTTGCATTTATTGCTTGTCGATTTACTTTCACGGTATACCTATTACATCATATTCTTGCTTTTATCACCTGTCGATTGTCGTTACCTTCGGGTATATTATACTTTTATTATTACATTATTACTTAGTGATCATGTCTGAAACTGTAGATACGCTCAAAAACAAAAGAAGAGTAATAAAAGCTACCTTAACGCGATTCGTTTCATTTTTCAACACTAGAATAAAAGATCAAACCAATCCTGACTTGGTTGAGCTGCAATCACGTCTTGAAAATATCACGCTCTTGCACAATAGCTTCGAGGAAACGCAACTAAAAATAGAATCATATTATACTGATGATAATTTTGATATTGATGAACAAGAAAGGGTTAATTTTGAAAACACTTTCTACGGAATAACTTCTGAAGCAAAGAAGGTTCTTTTGAATGTTGCTCAACCTCAACCATCTAATTCAAACTCGCTCCAATCACAAGCCCAGTTGCCTGTTTTAACTTCGAATTATATAAAACTTCCTGAAATACCCCTTCCTTCTTTTAATGGATCCTACAGTGATTGGTTATTTTTCAAGGAGACTTTCTTGTCAGTCATAGACAAACAAACCTGCATGCCCAAGGCCCAAAAACTAAACTATTTGAGAATGTCTGTGAAAGGTGAACCTTTCAATATGATTTCGACTTTGGAAATATCCGATGCCAACTATGACATTGCTTGGACAACACTTATGGATAAATATGAAAACATTGAAAGATTAATAAACAACCAAGTCAAAGACCTATTCAACATACCGCCAATTAATAAAGAAAATCACCATTCCCTAAGTCAACTTTTCGACAATACCAAAAGAATTTTAAACGCATTAAAGGCTTTGGGAGAACCAATAGAACATTGGGACACACTGTTGGTGTACCTTCTTACCACAAAACTAAATTCGAGTGTTCGTCATGCTTGGGAGAGTAAAAGGCCCAAACGTGAAAAGGCTAATCTCAAAAAATTCTTGGATTTTCTAGAAGATAGGCGTGACATGTTCGAATCAATAGAAGAAGATAGGCCCCAATTCGAAAGTCACAAAACCTCTAACAGTATTGGTAAACCTAGGCCTTTATCTTCAAAATCTCTCGTTAGCTCAAACAATTCTAATTCATTACCTAACAATTCTTATTCTACTAAATGTGTAATTTGCGAACGGGATCACACTATTCAAAATTGTAGTACATTTCTACAAATTGATACAAATTCCAGATACACTAAGGTAAAACAATTAAAACTCTGCATAAATTGTTTAAGAAGAAACCATACAGTAAAGGATTGTACCTCAGGCAAATGTAGGAAATGTGGTAGATCTCATCACACGCTTTTGCACTTCGATGATCGCAAACCAACTCCAAGCCAACCTCAGGAAAATATCGTGTCAAACTCACAAACTTCTGAATCTGTTGTCGCTGAAGGTTCCGTTAAATCTAGTTGCATAAAATCTCATTGTTCCATATTTCCACAAAACAATTGCATTCTTTTATCGACTGCGCTAGTAAATGTTTTAGATGGTAGTGGTAAGACGCATACTTGTAGAGTTCTATTGGATAGTGGATCGCAATGTAATTTTATAACCACAAGTTTATGTGAAAAATTAAATGTACAAAAATTCAAAATTCATGCTTCGATATCTGGAATTAGTAACTCGTCTTCTAAGGTAGATTCAAGAACAAATGTTGTTGTACAATCTCGGTTGAATTCATTTGCAATAAATCTAAATTGTTTGGTCGTTGATAGCATTACTGGATTAGTACCTTGTACTACTTTCAATAAAAATTCATTGAAAATACCACCACACTTTAATTTGGCAGATCCTAGTTTTGAGGTTAGTGCGCAAGTTGATATGCTGGTCGGTGCTGACACCTTTTGGGATTTATTATGTGTTGGTCAACATAAATTAGACTCAAATGGTCCATACTTACAAAAGACTCATTTTGGATGGTTGGTTGGTGGCCCACTCGCTTTGAAAAATAAATCTAAGTCAACTTCTTATTGCCACTTAAACACTCTCGAACTTGAAAAACAAATGGAAAGGTTTTGGTGTCTGGAGAACATTCCAGAAGAACCTCACTTATCTCAAGAAGAGGTTTTTTGTGAGCAGCACTTTCAAATTAACACTATTAGAGATAACTCTGGGAGATTCGAGGTAAAGATTCCCTTTAAAATCGATACATGTAAATTAGGTGATTCAATGCAATCTGCAAAGAAAAGATTTTATTCGCTGGAACGAAAAATGTTAATGGATCACTCTTTGAAAGATCAGTATTCTACTTTCATAAATGAATACATACAACTAGGGCACATGTCAAAAACAGATTCAGATGATTCTAGTGGTTTCTTTTTACCTCATCATCCTGTTTTTAAGCAGTCCAGTCAAACTAGTAAGATTCGTGTTGTTTTCGATGGTTCAAATAAATCTACAAGTGGTTATAGTATAAATGATCTCATGATGGTTGGAGCCAGGGTCCAGGATGATCTCTTTTCAATAATACTTCGTTTTCGTAAACACAGCATTGTAATTTCGGCCGATATAGCAAAAATGTATCGGCAAATAATGGTTGACCCTGGCCAACGTAAGTTTCAGAAAATAATCTGGCGGTTTGAGCCAACTG